GTTGTGCCACAAGAATTTAAGACATATGCCGAAACCGGTTTGGCTCAATGGATAGAGCATCGGCTTGGGGACTGAAAGGTCCCGGGTTCGATTCCAGTCAAGGGCATGTACCTTGGTTGCGGGCATATCCCCAGTAGGTGGTGTGCAAGAGGCAGCTGATCGATGACTCTCTCTCATCGATGTTTCTAACTCTCTATCTCTCTCCCTTCCTCTCTGTACAAAATCAATAAAATATATATTTTTTTTAAAAGAATTTAAGACATGTAAAAGAGGGCACTGCCCTCTTTTCCCTTAGATTGTCAAATGAAAAAATTGCAACAGCCAACACAATAGCCATCCAGTGTGAATGAATCAAAATTGTATTTATTGTTTTTGTCAGATCGGCAAAAAATAAATGTTTTGGGTGCCACATAAGTTTAGTAATTAGTTTATGTGTACTATGAGATGAAAAGAGTCAAAAATCACAATACTAAATGAATGACAAACAGCATTTTAGCACACATCTTCATTCATAACCTGAGGACTGCCTGTTTTAATATTTTGGTTTTACATTCATTTAAGAAAATCAGCGTAGATGAAATTCACAAAATAACTCCTGCTTCTTTGAGATTCATTGCTGGCTCATTTCATGTTAAGCACCTGTTCTTATGAAAGTACTAGTGGCCCAATGCACAAAAATTCGCGCAAGAGTAGGCCTTCCTTCCTCCAGCTGCCGGCACCAGCTTCCCTCCGACACCTGGGACCCAGGCTTTGCTCTGGCCTGGCTTCGTCTGGAATGACGACCAGAATGATGCCCAGAAGGACGTTCGGTGTAATCAGCATTTTACCATTTCATTATTATAGATTTGGCAAGAGAGGATGGTAGAATATGGATAGCAGGTGAGTAAAAATTTAAAACATTAATTATCCTACTCTAACGTTATATTTGGAAAATTAAAAACATGTATTTATTTTATAATGCAAACTCCAGAAGATAAATAACAAGTTCCCTAAATGGTAGGTATAGGCAGAAAATAAAGAAAGCCTTTAGTGAAAGCATACATTAAGGGAATGCATTATGTTCTCCTGGGCTATAAAATCTAATTTGTCCTGCTGTGTCCTGCTGTACAATATATGAGCTTTCTGTTTAAATAAAAATATGCATATGTTTTTAAAATAACATTAACTTTTATATATACTGTAATAAAGTATAAAAGTAGAGAGCAGGGGCCGTCTTCTGTCTGCACAGGTTAGCATTTGTCCTTTACCCTGTATGGGTAAATTAGACTGTTGTCAAGAAAGATGACATAAATCTTCCCAGACTGTGTTTGAAGTTAGGCCAAAGACACGGTGCTTGGAAGTCAAAGGTGATCTCAGCCTTCTGAGTTTCAGACACACCTGGAGACCTGGACCAGCCACCACAGCCTTCATTCTCCACAAGTGTGGGACCAAGTGTTTATGTCAAAACCTTTCATTTTGAGTTACCTTGTTTTCCTTTTGGGATAGTTAAAAAAATCAAAATTTTTTGACAATGTCGTATATGGGTCCATGCCAAAAAGATGGTGTGTTTACTTTTCAGTATTGTTGAAGTTCCAAAACTATTTTGGATTTGTGACAGAAATTATTGATTTAAATGTCATTTTAGTCTAAATATTTTTACAGCACTTTTTGTATGTTTATAGATTTGTTTTTCCTGCCTATAGGATGGGGCAGAATATCAGAAATCTACCAAGTGCTGAAAGTTTTGTATGAGTCAGCTTTCTCCATCAGCATGATTAAGACACTAGCAAAAACCAACCTTTCTCATGGTGGAGAAACACATGTAGAAATTTGCAATCAAACAACTGCCCAAGTTTCCTTTGGAGAAGAATATAAGGAAAAGAAAAGAAAAAGAAAAAACCCAAAAAAAAACCCAGGTTGTTGGTTAAGCCAGTCCAATTTTTCAATCAAGTAATGATTAGCTAAATTAGCTTAGGACATCAAACTTTCAGTTTTGCAAAAATAAAAATAAAAAATGGCTTAATACCCCTCTTTTCTCTGTTACTTGTGAAAACCCAATTGAAAAAACTGAGCCTAACAATTCGACTGAGCACAATGGTTAAGATACTGGCGGAAAAGGAATGTGATTTTTCTCGGGTCTCAGAGAGCATCACCAAAGCTGATGCTATGTTAGGAACCATGTGAAAATCCTTCAAAGTAAATTGGCCAATAGGAGAAAGGTATTGATGGGGTTGTGCCTGTGGTGTTGTTCCCAACATACTGGACTTTGCAGGTAGTGAGTGAAAAGTCAAAGGAAAATACTCATTTCTGGAACTCGCTTTGCCAGGCCTCATCGGTGGTGCCTTTGAAAACTCTGCCTGGGCATTGGTAAGAAAAATCTCAACTAAGGTAATTGTGAAAAAGGCCTTGTGTGGGTCAACCCACCCGCTTGCTGTGTGTGAGATCTGAATGCCCACCGGAAGGTTCTGCTGCTCTGAGGTGTGTTGATTGGCAAAGGGAAATAAGCACTTTTACCTGCAGCATGAGGTAATTTTTTTATTTTATTTTTTTGGAAACTAGAAAAAAGACATACAGCGTTAAATGTCCTAAAATGATCTCTCAGCAAAGCTTTTCATAGTTGACAGGTATATTTGAAAGTTTAAATATAAACTTCCCCTTATTAAAATAGAGCCCAAATTAAATTGCTAACATTCATACATTTTTTCCATTAAAACTTTTAAAGGTAGGGTCCTTAAAATGAATTTCCTAGAAAAAATAAGTGTGTATCCAGGGTGGTGCAGGCTGAATTTAGGACCTATTCCCTAGATGTCATGGCTGGAACATCTCATCCAGAGCTTATCAAAAAACTGCTTTCCCCTAATACTCAACCTGTGCCCAAAAACGTCTCCAAGAAGAAATTTTACAGTTCAAGCTTTTGCCAAAGTAATTTCCAGAAAATCACTGCAGAATTCCTTGTACAAGGCACTGCTGAGCATAGCTATTGATGCTTCCCCTCCCTAAGGGCAAGCAAATTTTCCGTGGGCACACACCTTCTGCCCTGGGAAACCAGTGTTGGAGGGGGAGGTACCACCCCCAGTGTCAGTGATGGGGCTGCCCGTTGCCCTTGCTCATCCGCTCAGCACAGAGCCCTGGTCACAGCACTGGTCCCGCGATGATGATGGATATGGAAGCAGGCCGATCAAGTGGCCCTCAGACCTCTCAGGGGTTTGCAGGCAGACCGCCTCTCTGTCTCCTGCTGGCTGGGAAGTGGAACAGGCCTCAGGGTAAAACTCTCCGCACAAAAGCTAGACGGCCGGTCTGAGTCATCGCACCGACCTTCTGGGGAATCTGCCCCTTCCAGACTCCCATCCTGGAAGCCACGGCGCCCTCTCTGTCATCGACGCTGGGTTGCCAATCACTCGCCACATCAGGAATCTTTGCTGAATCTGAATTTGGTGCCCAGAGGTGGGTGTGGCGAATCAAAAACCCCTAAAATGCTGGCCTGCCTGGAGAACAGTGAGGACCCCTTTAGCCCAGTTTTGAAACGGGCGGTTCTTGCTACATGCCTGCAAAATGACGGATTAGGCTGTCTTCAACGACATCTTAGGAAACAGGCCACGTATCCACCAAGACAGCATGAGGGGACTTGGTAGGAACTGTTCTGCAATGTGTTGGCCAATTCGTACGGTCTTGTGTAAGGATTTAAAAGAAAAAAGCAAAAACCGAAAAAGGTGGCCGAGAGAAACCTCAGCCCATGACCCCTGTTGCCGTGACCGAGCCTTAGTTGACACACTCACTTTGGAGACTTTCGAGGCAAAACATCTCACCTTAAAACCAGGGGAGAAGCAGCCTTGTTGTTACCCCATGTGTGCCCACGGATACTTGATTTTTTTCCTTACTGTGAACTTTGAAGACAAAACAGCCCAACAAAACCAGATATTAGAAGCATCATGGTGGCCTCCATTCTGCCTTCCCTTTACACGGGACAGATGACAACTTCCCACTCACTCGGTGTTTCTATGAACTGACAGTTTTTTATTTTTTAAAATACATTTTATTGATTTTTTTTTTTTTTTTTTTTTTTTTTTTTTTTTTACAGAGAGGAAAGGAGAGGGATAGAGAGTTAGAAACATCGAATAGAGAGAATCATCAATCAGCTGCCTCCTGCACACCCCCTACTGGGGATGTGCCCGCAACCAAGGTACATGTCCTTGATCAGAATCGAACCAGTCCACAGGCCGATGCTCTATCCACTGAGCCAAACCGGTTTCGGCAAGCTGACAGTTTTTTAAATGTAACTTAAACAATAAAAAATCATTTTCTTCTATTATTACCACTGTATTGACCTGTTTTTTACTATGTTATTTGTTTTTGAAATGCCCTGCTAACATTAAAGACAAGCTTTTTTCTTTTTCTCTCAAAATGGAGATAGATTTTGAAGTTTGAGAATATTCTGCTGGAGCATCTGGAAGCTGCCGGGATATATTGTCAAAGGGACCCTGACTGAGAATAATTGAAAGACTACATAACAGTAATGTTTGACAGAGAAAGTAAGAAGGAATTTACCAAAAAAAAAAAATCACTTTAACTTCTATAAAACTTGTCTATTTTGAAAGGCAAAAGTAATTGAGCTGATTTCCACTCCTATCCTTCTTCCTGCCAAAGTTTTCAAAGCGCGTTTTGTCTAATGAGGATAATGCGTGTACCTGGCTTTTCAGGAGCTCCAGGGAGCTCAAAGCATTTTCCACATATTGTCTCATTATTCTTGATTCTCTCCCCAGATATTTGAGGCTCGCTATCCTGAATTTGTAAAAGGGTTAGAACTCAAGAAGGAAAATGACAATGACACCAAACCTCCCGCAGCTCTTTCTCTAAACGCTGTATGTAAACAGGTGTGTGTAGGCTCTTGCTTGCAAACAACAGAACTCCCACTGCAGCTGGATGAAGCAGAAAAAGGAGTGATTAGAAGGCATAGAACGGCTCACCAAAATGCCTGGGAGCCGGAGAGAGTCGGGTGCACAGGCTGGCCACCCCAAACCTCATTGCTGCAGGGAGTTTTTTTTAATAGACTTTATTTTTAGAACAGTTTTAGATTTATAGAAATAGTGAGCAGACAGTACAGAGAGTTTCTATATGTCCAGTTCCCAGCTTCCCTGATTATGAATATCTAACATTAGTGTGGTGCATTTGTTAGACACGATGAACCCACATTGATCCCTTTTTATTAACTTCATTGTTATAAAGTCCCTGGGTGGTTCAGTGTTCTTCCGTTTTCGCCTATAGCTCATTTTCTGTTTGGGGCTCCCACCCTGCATGTAGCTGCCACGTCTCCTAGGCTCCTCTTGGCTATGACAGTTTCTCAGACTCTCCTTGTTCTTCATGACCTTGGCAGCCTTGAGGAAAATGTCAGGTATATTGCGGGATGCTCTTCTGTCAGAATGTGCCTGCTGCTTTTCTCCTGATGAGATGCGAATGATGGCATTGGGGAGGAAGACCATGGAGGTAAATTCTATTTTCATCACGTCCTCCCAAGGGTCCACCGTACCCACGTGACCCACCCCTGTTGACGTTGACCTTGATCGTTTGGCGGAGGGAGCACTTGCCAGGTCGTTCCACTGTCACGTGACTGCCGTCCCCTTTCCACTGTGCGCTGCCAGGTTCTTATTTAAGTCTGTTTTTCGAGTGGCAGATCAGAGAACTGCAGAGATCATGCGTCGTGATCACTAACAGCCCCAGGGACTCCTGGGAGGTGGGCATCTTATCTCCCTCATGCACACATCCTCCACCGCCACACACAGCGCCCTGCACGCAGTGGGCACCTGGTAACTCTTGAAGGACTTTGAATAGAGTTGAGATTCACCTGGTAGTTAATTAACTCAGCTGTGGGATGCTGGTAGGAGACTGGGGGCAAAGACTATAGAGGGGAGAGAGGTTTGCCCGGTGAACACCCACCCCCAGGTGTGGCCGGGTCCCAGGAATCTGATCTTGACCTTGTCTCATTCTGAATGTTAAAAACCTGCTTGGCATAGGCTGACTCAGTAACATGGTTTTCTGGGGGATATTTTTTTTCCTCCAAGTGGCAGAGGTTCTCCCAGGGCCTTCAAGTTAGGGGGTGGAATTTATTGTCACCGCAGTGTTAGGACGACAGGATGTCCTGGGAGTTCAAGGCCATGACACGCGGTTGGGCCAGGCCTTGGCAGAACTGGAACTGAGCATCCCATCTAGGACATCGTTCTCTGCTAAAGGAGAGGCCACCACTGTCTGGTCTCTCTGTGGCTGCCCACTGGGCTGGCTGCAATGCCCTCTACCCCAATGTCCTTGATCTTGGTCACCAAACCTTCAACTCACAGAACCCCGACAAGCCAGTGACCTCCATGGCCCCTGCTTTTCCTGCACATGACGCCTTTGACTTTACTTTCTGCTCTTATCGGATAAATTCTGCAAACTAGAACAAGGATTGGCCCAGTACTCTCCTCACTGGTCAAGAAGCTCTGTGCCAGTCCCTTTTGCAGGCTACTGTATGGATGTCTTTTGGGTTGGGAGTTCATCCACCCTTGGCCAACTCAGCTGAGGCCCAGAGGCAGCCAGCAGGCCTGGGAGTGGGATAAGTTCCCAAGATGGGGCAGTGGCGGGCCCAGCAGCAGGGTTGGGGTGTCACCCCAAAGACATGGGAACAGGTTGCCTAACTTGCAGCTGAAACAGCCAGGAAGGAATCTCTGAGCAGCACAGAGGGGACCAGCTGAGGTCCTGCCTGCAGATGCCTCACCTCCAGCCCCGTCCCCCTCAGTGCTCCGTATGTAAACATTAGCTCCAGGGCAGCCTCAGTCACCAGAGTAAGCTCTGATAAAGTTACCCTTACCCGGTGCTAATTGTCAACTGTCTTTCTCTGGACTGGCTTTATCTGTCTATTTTTAAGTGAGTTGTTTTACACTTGGAGGGGGTGGGGAACACAAAGCTCCCCTAAAGTCACTGTGTACAGAGATGCCCTGGAGGTGGCACAAGACAGAAAGTAACAAATAACACGCTGATTCAGTGCTGTGGTGGATTGGGGCTCTGCAGTGCCCGCCTGTGCCTCAGCCTCAGCCTCCCTCATCCCCTGCCTGCCAGAAGCCCCGCAGTGCCTGTGGGCGGCGGGGGAGCGCCTCTTTGTTCCTTCCACCTTGCACAGCATGTTCTCCCACAAGTAATTTATTCCCGTCTTAGCACAGGGATCAGTGTGGGGGCAGCAATGGAGGCAGTGTGCCCCCCTCCTGCTCCCTCCCTTTGGAGAGAGACCTGGAAAGTGCTGGAGAGCAGCCAACTCTCCCCAAATCGGGGTGGGGACAGCCGAATGCCGACCTGGACCCAGGCATGGAGAACTGCACACTCACAATCCATGCCCTGGACACACACACACACACACACACAGCTGAGACCCTTCTCCCAGGATCTTCTATGCAGGATCACAGACAATCACCAGGTGGGTCAATGCTTCCTTCTGGAACATCCTGATCCTTCTGGAACATTCTCATGACCACCACATGGTCTGAACTCTTCTGCACTGGACTTCCAGGGTCTGGGCTCTTCCCCTATCACTCTTCCACCTCTTAAAAACACCACTGAGTTCATTAGAAAACAGAGAATACAGGAAGCCTCGGAAGTAGGGGACAAAGGTGATCAACTCTTCAGCCCACCCCAGAGCTCCCTCCCACTTAGGTAGTCCAGCTCACCGCAATGGCCTCCTGTCCCCACTCCTCCCCTCTCCTCCCCTCTCCTCTCCTGTCCTACCCAGGCTGCTTCAGCCAAACTTCCTGAATCACAAGCATCTGAACATATTGTGTCTTTTCTCTTCCCCCCACCCACCCACCCACCCCACCTGCTGTCTGTCATTCCTTCCACCTGGAATTTCTCCTTCTAGGCTTTACTACCCAAAATTCAACCCTCGTCTTGGCCCAGCTCCGGGCTCCAGGAGGGACATGGAAGGGCCAGGAAGAGGCTGAGCTCAGGTTTGGGAAGGACAGCAGGACGCCAGGGCAGGACTCCAGCAGCAGGCCGGTTGGGGTGGGAGAGCTGCGGGAGGGGCTCAGGCCAGGTCCCGGGATGTGGGTGACCTTATCCAGAGCAGCAGCACAGAGCCAGGGACCGGCCCAGCACACCTCGGGCTGGCCCTCCTGCAGCAGATGGGCTTGGCTCCACCCTACAACCAGCGACCCCTCCCAGGCCTGGGCGCCGCAGGAGTGGCGGCCTAGGTGCCCAGGAGGAGACTTTGGACTAAAAAGAACCTCCCCCTGGGACCTTGTGAGGCCACAGCCAAGTCAGGATCGCAGAGGCTGTGTGCTGCCCTCCGGCCCTCCTGAGCCCCGGAGAGCTGTCACCTGCTTGGCTGATGGGGACTCATGACTGAGCTGAGAAAAGCTCAGGAGAGGGCCGGGCGCAGAGCAGGCTGCCTTATATAAGCGTTTGCTTAAAAAGGACAGGAGGGATGTATCGGCGGGGACGGATGTGCCGTGCCTTTCGGGTACAGTTGGTGTGACATGTGGAATCCTTAATTAGCAGCAATGCACCCTCGTCCCTCCCTGTCTCCCCGCATTCGCCACGTGGCTGAGGGGGCCCTTCTCCAGGAGGGGGTGTTCCGTTATAGCCATGGTTACCGGCGGACAAATTTCTGTGGCGGGTGTCAGGTCTGGGATGACAAGACAATAGGCCCCTAGGGAATTTTGGGCGGTGTGGCCTGACCTAAATTTGAAGTGGACTTCCGGTGGTTCTTGTTTTGCTTTCAGTATCCCATTCACGGAGCAGCCCTGCAAAAACACATTTCCGCCAACTGCAATGCATTAGCCATCGTTTAAGATGGTCAGCAGGATCTGACAAATGGTCAGACGTGGCAGTGCTCCCGACTGAAAACTCTAGAAGCTCAGATGTTTGTGTTCAGATAGTATGGTTAAGTTTGCTTCTCTTGAAGTCACATTTAAATAAAATCTGGTTTGGGGTATAGATAATATGTTTAAACTTTTTCTTAAAAAGTCCACTAGGGGAGGAACAGGCGCACTGAGAAAGCCACAGGCCTGAGTGTGAGCACACCAGCAGGGCGACCTCGCTTGCCTCGGGGCGGGAAGGAAGCAGAAGGCGGGAAGGGCGGTTCAGATGGGGCAGAAGCTGAGCAGGGCTGGGGGAGGAAGTGGGGAAGACCGCCCTCCAATGGGGATAATCATGCAGGGGGTTGGGAAGTGTGGGGGCTGCTCTATGGCTTGATTACGATGGTGATTACCTTATTATACACATTTGTCAAAAATCATAGACCAGCTTATGACCTACATCATATAATACTGTAATTACCCTAGACCATGTAATTATTATACTGTATATTTATACTGCATATAAATATGTGTTATACATTTATAAATTATACTATGTAATTATTATTATACCACGCAGAACAGTAGAGAATACTATTATGATTCTATAAATTCCATGTTATCACATCCATGAACTGACTTAGAAAATTCAGACATCATGCCCGTCTGGTGTGGCTCAGTGGTTGAGCATCGACCTATGAACCAGGAGGTCACAGTTTGATTCCTAGTCAGGGCAAATGCCAGGTTTCTCGGGCTTGATCCCCAGTAGGGGGTGCACAGGAGGCAGTCGATCAGTGATGCTCTCATCATTGATGTTTCATCTCTTTCCCTCTTCCTTCCTCTCTGACATCAATAAAAATATATTTTTTAAAATATATTTTTAATTCATACATGAGAAGCTGAAGGTGGGATGCTGAGTTTCTGACCTGGTTCTGTGGGCTCCTGAGCCTACCCTGTGATGGGACCTTTCCAGGCCTGTGTCAGAGAGTGAGGCGCAGCCTCAAGTCTCGGGCTGGCCAGGGGCAGGGCAATCCTGCAGCTGCGCTTCCACCACAATGAGGTCTGGGAGCACAGAGGCCCCAGCCCCAAGTCCCTGCTCCTAGTTACGATGATGAGGAGGACTACTCTGGAGTACCCTGGAAGGATGTCGGAATTCTGTGTCTCGGCTTCCCGCCTCACTTGTCTTTGCTTCCTCCAGCCCTGAGGGCTGTTCATAGTTTAATATTTTCTCTCAGTCACTACACATCAGAAGTTATGCCCAAAAAAAACTTCCTGGGATTTTTCACCGTGGCTGAGCCTACCAGGGGAGGTTTGGCTAATGCGTGAATTTGTCTTATGATGGGCAAACAAGTTCCCTGTGACTCTCAGAAACAAGAAGGGAACAATGACTCTCCATCATTTCTGCCAGCAGAGAGGAGCTGAAATTGGCTCCGGATTCTCCATCACCTGCTCACTTTGGGGCTGAGGAAACCACGCATTTTCTCTCAGAGGCATGTGCACGCACCAGTGTGTGTGCCGCGTGTTCCCGCGGCTGCTTTCCAGAGTTGCCTTGCTTCTGACGTGCTCTCTAGCGCCTACGGATGAGAAAGTCAGGAAAGCTGCTTTTTCTAACCAGCTTCCACATTCCTAATTTTTGCAGCATGGAGCTGCCTCCGCTTCAGATTTTAGTTGCAAGGAAGTCAGGGAGAGTGTGGGGTGCCGCCCAGGCCTCCTCACCCTGGGAAGGCATAGATCCCCTGTGTGTCCTGAGCCAGAATGGAGGGCGACTTCTCCAGGCCTCTGCAGCACAGCCCCAGGGGTCCCAGGAAGGCTCCCAGCCACAGGTCCTCCCCAAACTGGGCTCAGCTTCCAGCATGAGGGGTCAATGCCCACGTTCTCCCTCAGCCTTTTCTGAAATACAGACACTCCTGGCAGGGAAACCGTGGCTCAGAGGCCTTAGGGCTGGTCACCTTCTGTCCCTGCAGGAGCCCTGGCCCCACTTCTCTCCATTGGTCCCTAGATTTCTAGAAGGACTGGGCACATCCCTTTAAGGACATTGATCTGTTGAGAGCACTGGAAGTGTCTTGGCTGTACCTGCTGCAGCCTGAGCTCCAGGCAGGGGCATCCGGGGAAGGGGCGGGGGAGGAAGCTGGAAAAGAGGATCCACAAAAGAAGAACCGGTGAGCAAAGCAAACGATTTCACTGACTTCATCATTTTTGTGTAGGAGGAGTTTCTAAAATGGCTTACTCTTAAAAAGCTAAACAGATCTCAAAGCCTCTGCTTTTTATAGAACATCAGTCCCTGGTTCCAAATTAGCAGCCCTTAATCTCGCGCTGGTCTAGTTCTGAAGTGACTACTAAGCCGCTGGGCTAGGGCTTCACGTCAGCGTCCAGATCATCCTTGACCAGCCCGGGGAGCG